CATTCATCGCTGTTACAATAATCTCTGGACAGGGCCAATGTCTATGACATGATACTCATACTATCACCAATTACACTTTTCCACAATCAATTTTATCCTATCTACACTTGTATATTCATATCAACTGGTCAATCTCATTTTACTTTTCTACTTCGATCTCTGGAATTTGATCTCTGTTTTGACTATCTCACATTTCACAAGTATTAGTCATCATGGTAAATCTCTCTGGACACTAGTCTACCAATAATTCACTTTAAATGGATACCCATCATACACATTGACAAATCAACTTGAAATCTCCTCTAGTTCATTCACCAATGACACCATGTACACCAATATCATTTTCAATATCCTCAGGTATATCAAGGATCTAGTATACTAGGACTTGATCTATCTTTTCTATTATCCCATTATTTCATAGTCTATATCCTTTTATCATTCTCCCTATGATTCTTGATACCTTTATCTATGTACCTTGATCTCTGGTATCTATTTCTTGACTCTGTTCTTGATCTCTGGTTCTAAGCTTGGTCATATTGCTCCTTGATCCATCATGGTCTTTAACTCTGTGTTTTATTACCAATGGACTACTGGTACACTTTTACTGGATAAAGAATTGTATCTCCATGAACTCAGTGCATTGGACTTGCATCTTGTCATAGAAATTTCATTTGTCTTGCTCTATGGTATTGTCACTTGGTCATCCTTGGTATCTACTATGGTCTTGGTACTCCAATAACCTATGGTTCCATGGTCTCTTTGTCTCTTGGTCTTTGCTCATGGACTCTGGTCTCTGATCTTGTCTCCTTTTCTATAAGTAACTAGGATCAAGGCACTAAGTACTCTTGTCATCATGATCATTGGTCTTGATTCTGGTACTACTAGTCTTGGTCACTGTTTATGCAATCTCTGATTCTAGATCTTAAGGACACTAGACATCTCATGTTTATGTCTCATTGTCCTCTGGTACTTGACACTGTTCACTAGGTATAAGTATCTTGTACTCAGGTCATGTCTCAGGTCTCTTGTCTCTGGTCTCATGTCTTGACTCAGGACATAAATTGTATTCTCATGTCTCCTTGGTCTCTTGGTCTCATGTTACAGGTCTCTGTCATCGGCATCTCATGACTCTTTTTTCTTGATCTCTGGTCTGATCACTGTCTCTTGTCTCTTTCTCTTGTCTCAATGTATTGGACATGTCTCAGGTCCTAGATTCTGGTCCATGGTCTCAGGACTCTTGTCATGAATCTCAGGTCTTGCTCTCTGGTCTGTGTCTTGATCTCTGGTTTGATCCTATGGTCTGCTTCTTGACTACTTGGTCTTTGAACTCTGGTCTATATCACTAGGTCTTGTCACCTTGTCTAGGTCTTTATCTCTGGTCTAGCTCTATTTGGTATGTGTATAGGATTCTGATCTAGATTTCTAGGTCTTTGTCTATGGTCTTGATCTATGTTGAACTCTGGTACTCTTGTCTCTGGTCTTGATTCTGTACCTTGATCTCTGGTTCTTGTCTTGGACTTGAATCCTCTGGTCCTTTGAACTCTGGTCGTGCTCATTGACTTGGTCTTGATCTTGGTCCTCGATCTCTTGTCTCTGGTCTTGATCTTGGTATGTCTCTGTCATGGTTTAGTCTTGGACATGATTCTGGTCCTGGTCTCTTTTTTTGTATTGGATCTTGGCTGGACTCTTGATCTCAGGTCATGATCTCTGGACTGTTCCAGAATGGTCTTAGGTCTGATTCCCGGTCAGGTCTGGTCAGTTCCAGGTCTAGGTATAGGACTGTTCCCAGGTCTTGTGTCTTGGTCCTGTTCCAGGTTAGGTTACTGGTCCTGTTACGGTTTAGTTCTTGTCAGTATTCAGGGTCTAGGTCTTGGTCCTGTTCCGTTAGGTCTCTGTTGTTCCCAGGTCTTGGTCTAGGTAGTTCAGTCTTGGTCTCTGGTCCTGTTCAGGGTCTTTGTTTGGTCTGTTCAGACTTGTCTTTTGGTCCTGTTCCGGTATTGGTCTCTGGTCCAGCGTTCCTGGTATGGGTTTGGTCTGGTACTTGAATTTGGACTGGGCCTGGTCTTGTCCTGGTCCCCAGGTCTATGGTCCTCTGGTTGGTTTGATCTTAGGTCCAGGTCTGGACCCTTTGTCAGGACCCGGTCTTGGTCTCTGGTGAGTCTTGATCTCTGGTTTGATCTCTGGTTGTTCTCTTGTCTATGGTTCTTGTCTTCCAGGTTGATTAGTTTCCAGGTCAGGAGGTCAGGTTCGTAGGTCCTAGGACTGGATCATGGTTCTGGTCCTTAGATACCTATGTTCCTTGTCTTTGTCTCTGGTCCAGGGTCTGTATCACAGGTCCAGGCGGCCGTTTCTCGGTCTTGGTTGGTCCAGGTCTCTGGTCTTGATCTCGGGTCCTGGTCTCTTGTTCTCTGGTCCTGTCCTTGGTCTTGATTTTGGTATGGTCTATTGTCATCTGGTTTGATCATGGGTTTGCTCCTAGGTCAGGTCTCTTGTCATGGCTCTAGATCTCTGGTCATGATCTCTGCGTCCTGGTCTCTTGTCTCTGGACTTGATATTGGTCATAGATCCATGTCCAGGTTTTGTCTCTGGTCTTGATCTCTTGTTGATCTCTTGTCTGTCTAAGTCCTCTGGTCATGATCTTGGTCTGGTTCTGAGTCTTTGTCTTGATCTTGGTCTTGTCTCTTGTTCTGGTCATGCTCTCTGGTCTTTATCTCTGGTCTTGTCTCTTGTCTCTGGTTTTGATCTTGGTCTCTTGTCCTGATGGTCTTGATCTTGGTCTTGCTCTCTGTTATCCTTGTCCTCATGGATCTTGATTTGGTTTGTTCTCAGGTTCCTTGTCTTGGTTTGCTCTAGGTATGAATGCACTGGTCTTTGTCTCTGGACTTGATCTACGGGTTTGAAACTCTGGTCTCTTTTCTCTGGTCCTTGATTTATGGACTTAGCTCTTGTCCTGATCTTAGTCCTTGGTCTTGATCTCTGGTTAACTCCGGGTGTTAGAATCACTCCACTGGCTCCTTGGGAGTGGATTTTCACACCGGAAGTTATCGTGCTCCCCTCCCTGTTTTGGTACCTGTTAAGATCTAGCTGCTGTTTTCCTGAACGAGCTGGAAGCTCTTCAAAGCGGCCTTTAGGGCCCCCGTGCCAGTTAAAGCGTTCACAGTAGTCGAGCCTTGAGGTGACAAACGCTTGTGAATGAGTTTTTCCGCCGTCCACTTTTAGGTACGGAAAAATTCCTAATTTTAGCGATGTTCGTAAGTGGAACGGTACGCGTTTTAGTTGCTTGCTTATATAGCCTTGAGGAGAGTTCTTGGTCCAAAATGACTCAACGATTCTACGTGATACTGGGGTGTTATAATACTGCATTATCGCAAGACTAACATTGGTTAGTGAGGGAGTCAACGCTGGCGCTTCGGACACGAGTAGGGGTTCACTTCTGTCTTCTCGGGTGAGAACGTAGGCAGTTAAAGAGTCACCCACATGTTTAAGGTCCTTTATGCAGGCACTGCGGCTTTTCTTAGCATGATCTGTCTGGTTAGGCTTATCGGACGATAAAGCTGTGTTGTCATCTGCAGCACAGTGGACATTAATTCCTATGCTTTTTAATAATGTTTCCCAGTGGGCAGCATGTTAGAGAAGTACAAAGCAATCGGTCCGAGTACCGAACCTGCGCACACGAATTCCATCCCCAGGAATAGGCGGGTCGAGTCTGTTTCACATTGACGACAGTTGATATCTCGATCCTGCTTAAATAGGATTTAAACCAGCCAAGGGCTATTCCTCTAAGACCTATATCACATTCTAGCCTCTGCGAGTAGACTGCTGTGGTCCCTATTGTGTCTCAAATGCTGAGCCCTAAGGTCCAGTGAAGGCCAGCACTGACCACTTGTCATTATCAGGCAGCTTGTAGTAATTCATTTGTGCTTTGACTAGTGCCGTTTCAGTGCTTATGATGAGCTCAGAATCTGATTGAAAGACTTCAAATAATATTTTCCGGCAGGTGGCGCGGAGTCTGCTCAGCTATAAGTTTTTCCTGGATTTCTTAGATATAAAAGTGAGGTTTTGAGATCGGGTCTGTAGTTTTGTAAGTATTTCTGGGTCCAGGTTTGTTTTCTTCCGATGGGGTATGTTAACGCGTTTTAAAAGCTTGTGGGGACATAGCCACATTGTAATGGGATGGTTATTATATGTCCCGATAGGCTCCAATAATCCAAGGAAGTATGTCTTTGAAGACGCCATGTCTGGGACTGCGTCTATCTGCAAGTTGAGGCTTTTGAGGATGTGGACCACAGAGATTCACCTCTGCTTGGCTCACAGCATGCATTTATTAAGCCCACTGAAGAGTCTGAAGTGGGAAGTCACGTAAGCGCTTTAACCTGTCCACTACCAACAGCAGGAGCAACCTCTCCAGGCTTCTCACGGATGGTATGTCATTTATTATTAACGCCGTGGAGCAAGTCGAACCACTGCCCTCGTGAGCTCTGGAATTTTAGGCTCGATTGCGCCTATGGAGTTTGTCTGTGTTTAGCGACGGTTGCCCCAACACAACAATTACTGTTTTGTTTTTATTCGCTTCCTATTAAAGTTGCATAGTATTGAGTTGAGCCCCGCGGACGGGCCTTTTGTTAGTTTCGGAGACCCTGCTTTCCACTCCCTGGTGGACGGCTCCGTTGGTAGTGGTGTGGCGATATGAGCCTCTCCAATTTTCTGACGTCCTGTTTTAAAGAGTGGAGTAGCAACCCTGTACCTGGGCGGACGATGATCTCATCCCTAATGGTTTCTGTTTTAAAGGAGCTGCTACCATTTTACTGCAGATTTAACGACTCATAGTGTTGCCACCGTGTTTGGTCAATGACTGAGGGGTCTGCCAGCTGCTGTGAACGGTTCACCCTGCCCCCAGCTTAGTATTCAAACATAGGCTGTTATTAGTTCTTTGAACCTTGTGAGTAGATTAATCATTAAAGGTTTCTTTTCATTAGGCGTTTTATCTTGCTGGGACAGGAATGTCCTCCCCACAGGCCGAGATTCCAACGGTGATCAAGAACTGGTCAGACAGCAACCGAGCTTGGCTGGATGTCAACATTGGAGACATCCTCCAGGTTAGGTCAGGACACGGTCCAAGGTCTTGTTGGTTATGAATGTGAGATAGGTTCCTCGACATTCATGAGTATAACCAACACCATCTAGTACGGCACTGAAAGCTTGGTTTAAGCTGTTCAGTGCTGTCGTCCCCATGTATATTGAAGTCTCCAGTTATCACTATGTTTCCCATTCCAAAACTAGGTTTGAACATGACGATCAGAGATTTCTGTTTAGGCACTCGCTGTAAGGACCAGGAGGTCGGTTATACAAACTATAAATAAGTACTGCTTTTTGTTTACTCCACCCAGGAACAGGTGATTGAAAGTGTTAGTTTTCAAACGAAGCGTGAAAGCGTTGTTGGTTTTGGGACCTAAGAACCCGTTGGGTGTGTGTATATCGTCAAACACACCGCCGGACCTGTAGGCTCTGGCTTTCTGGTAGCTTAACATGCGTCGAGGATGTGCACTCATTCAATATAAGTACTCGTTCCTGTTTGGAGCCAAGTCTCCGGAGAGCGCATAACCAGATCCAAGACCTTGTCTCTCTAAATTAAAGTCCGTTTGATGAGAAGCGATTTTAGACGAGATGATCCGACGTTCATTAAACCAATTTATACAAACCCTACCGCTAGCACTATTTCTGTCCTGTCTGAACTTGTATTAAGTTACTGTGTCTGACCCGCCTCTGTCCGTTTCCCCCCCCCCTCCCCCCCCCCCTCGATATAGTGCTTTAGACTTTCAAGCGGGGTACACACACAGTTTCAATTGACTAGGTCTGAGGCTCGTAACTGCGCAGCACACAGGCACTACACCCACACCTGACACATAGTATCACATCTGACTGTTCTGAGGATAGTAATGAACAGATGGGGGCTCAGAGGTTGTGGCAGAGCAGCTATGCACCGGGCCCTCAGTTCTGCACGGCAGTTGAGCCGGGCAGCCCAGGAAAACAGTTTTAGAGCCAGGGCCCACCATTCTTAGCAAAAGGGATGTACCCGAAACGTTGGTGCGATATCTATCCGTTCGCGGATGAGACCTGGCCTTTCCCCAAACAGGCACTCCAATTGTCAACATGAACAAACAACCACTTCGAGGGCACCTGTCCAGGCCAGGCCAGCGGTTGAAAGCCGAGTGTTGCGCATGCTTCTGCCTGGCCTGTGCTAGTAGGGGCCCAGAGAAGATGACAGTTGTTTGTCGGGCCATTGTGCTAGCCAGCTTGCACACGGCGGCCGACTTGCCGTTCATCACCTCGGACTGTTTCCGCCGAACGTCATTCCACTCCGCGTGAAAAACATTCGACGGAAACGCTGCTTGTGGGGTCATCAGGAGCCTCAGCTTCCCGTCTATATCACCAAGCCCTGGCCCCAGGGAGAGCACGAACAGTGGGCTCCTCTGGGTCTTAACACCGTCTATCAATAGAGGAGGCCAAGTACCAGCACATCAGGCGACTCCCATCGGCTCTATCAGCTAGCTCTCTCAGACAGCTCTCTCAGTGGGGCTTTTCCCGCCCGGGCCGCGCTGGGGGCGCAGCCCGGACAGAGCGGCCCAGCGATTCGTAAATGCTACAGGAGGAGGCCCGAATGGGGAAACTAACCAACAACACCGTCGCCCTCTGCCGAAACAGGCACAAAAGCATCCACCTATCTGGTCTTGTCCCAGCTGCGGAGGACGGGGCCTGGGGGCTAGGCTCGTAGTTCTCCTCTGCCTTTCCCTAAAGTTACGCTCCGCTGTCCCTGAGGATACGGCTGGCTGTAGCTAATGCTTAAGGGCGGGACTCGCCTCGGACTCCCAGTGCTCGGTAGGACCGCAGCTCTAACAAATGACCCTGGATTCCAGAGCTACTGACTACACTACACTTCACACATCTATCACTACCCTCTAGCGAAGGATCCAGGGTTTAGACTCGCCATATGGCATACACTGCGAGCCGTAAAGAGTGAGGGAGAGACGGCAGCGCCATAGTGTAGCGAGTTAGCGGTTAGGCTAAGCTAGGCTAGTCCTAAGCTGTTCGGATCGGCCCGCACACCGACCTCCGAGACCAGACAAACCAACCGCTACCTAAACCTCAGCGCGTACAGCTTGACTCGGAGTGCTTACACTGTTAGCTTCGTGTACCTACCGTGGATTTGTAATGTGTTTGTTAGAGCAAACTGTGAAGAGAGTGATAGCAGTCAGAAACCCGCTCACCGGATACAGAAGTCACGTCACGTCACGTTACCACAGTCAACATCTGATGAAAGCTCAGCTAATAAGCAAGAGCACTTCCTTATTGGCGTTCTTTTGAGCTAGCGAGTTCAGCATTAGCATCAGTATCCAGTCTGTTTGTGGCAAGCCCCGGCGATCCAAGATGGCGCCCTATTCAATGATATGGTTGTGCTGCTGTGGCGCTTTGTGACGGCATGGGGGCTGAAGTTACGCGGAAGTCGCCTGCACCTCTCATAAAGATCCTATGGGAATACTTCAAAGATCTATGGGAAAACTTCGCAACGACTCAGGGAAACTCTCAAAGATCTATGGGAAACTCTCAAAGATCTATGGGAACTCTCCAAAAGATCTTTGGGAAACTCCTCAAGCTCTATGGGAAGACTTCAAAGATCGCTGGGAAACTCTCAAAGATCTATGGGAAACTCTCAAAGATTTATGGGAAAACTCTCAAAGATCTATGGGACACTCTCCAGATCTTTGGGAACTTCGTTGTCTTTGGGCAGTCGTCTGGTCCTCCCCGGTTCGTGCAGTGGGAGGATCTCCCATAATGCATTGTCGCCATAACACGCTTGTGTGGGTCTCACACCGGGTCTCCACGCACGTGCACAGAGGGTCTCACGCCCGTGCACAGAGGGTCTCACGCACGCTGCACTCGAGGGGCTCGGCCCGCGCTCGGTGCCAATCAGAGCAGTTCATCAGAGCGGATTTCGCGCGAGAGCCAGAGGAGCAGATAGTTTTGTGGCACTAAAGTGTGGTTTAACACAAAACCGAAGGATTTTACGAAGAAAACAAAGTTCAGGATGCCAAGGGACACTCAAATCCCCCACACAATCCTCTCTTTATTCAGCTCTGTTCGCTGTCAGGTTCTCTGTCAGCTGAGGTCGAGCTGGTTTTATATGCATTGAGTTTTCTATGGGGAAAATTTCTGGTTCGCCCACGTGCAATCTCGGTCTCAAGATGGTCTCTCCTCTGGTTCCTCTTGGTCTCTCTCTGGTCTCTCTCTGGTCTTCTCTTGGTCTCTCTCTGGTCTCCTCTCTGGTCTCTCTCTGGTCTCTTCTGGGTCTCTCTCTGGTTCTCTCTGGTCGCTCTCGGTCTGCTCTCTGGTCTCTCTTGGTTTCGCTCTCTGGTCTCTCTCTGGTCTCTCTCTGGTCTCTCTTGGTCTTTTTCTCCTGCTCCCCTCGCTCTCTCTGGTCTGTCTCTGGTCTCTCTCTGGTCTCTCTCTGGTCTCTCTTGGGTCTCTCTCTGGTCATCTCTGGTCGTCATGTTCTGAACTGTCTTGATTTTCTGATGTTGTTCTCGGTGAATCTAAACTCTGTAAAGTCCTTAACAGTCTTTAGACTGTGATGGATTTCTAGAAGCGATACACAAAAATCAAGACCAGAGGTTCCCAAGACCAGGACCCCACACCAAGAACAGACCCAGACCCAAGACAGCCCCAAGCCAAACGACACTGACCCCAGACCTAAGACCGCAAGACCAGAACCCAGACCCAAGATACAGACACACACCCAAGACCAGCCAAGGGCACTAGAGACCCCCCCCCCACACCCTAAGAAACAGACCAGAACCCAGACCGGACCCCCAAGACCACAAGGGGGGGGGGGGGGGGGGGGGGGTGGGGGGGGGGGGGGGGGGGTGGGGGGGGGGAGGGGGGCGGAGGGGGGGGGGTGTGTGGGGGGGTGGGGGGGGGGGGGGGGGGGGGGGGGGGGGGGGGGGGGGGGGGGGGGGGGGGGGGGGGGGGGGGGGGGGGGGAGGGGGGGGGGGGGGGGGGGTGGGGGGGGGGGGGGGGGGGGGGGGGGGGGGGGGGGGTGGGGGGGGGGGGGGGGGGGGGGGGGGGGGGGGGGGGGGGGGGGGGGGGGGGGGGGGGGGGGGGGGGGGGGGGGGGGGGGTGGGGGGGGGGGGGCCCCCCCCCCCCCCCCCCCCCGCCCCACCCCACCCACCCCCCACCCCCACCCACCCCCCCAACCCAACCCCCAACCCACCACCCCCCCCCCCCCACAACGGGGGGGGGGGGGGGGGGGGGGGGGGGGGGGGGGGGGGGGGGGAGGGGTGGGGGGGGGGGGGGGGGGGGGGGGGGGGGGGGGGGGGGGGGGGGGGGGGGGGGGGGGGGGGGGGGGGGGGGGGGGGGGGGGGGGGGGGACCTGACCAGACCCAGCACCAAGACCGGACCCCAAGACCAAAGACCCAGACCAAAGACCAGACCCAGACCCAGACCCAACGGACCCAAGACCAGACCCAGACCCAGACCTGGACGTTTTATTTTGAGAAGTACTGTGGTCAAAATTACTAAGACCAAATCCAAGACCAAACATGGTCTAAAATCAGACTTACACTAAAACCCAACCTGGACCAAGTCCCAGACCCGGACCTGGACCAGACCTCCAGACAGACCTAGTCTCCTCTGCTCCTCGCTCCTGGAGGGTGTCATGTCTGCTCCGGATATGATGGGTCCTCCACTGCTTCCCAAATGTCACATGACTCAGCATTTATCTCAGATTCTACCTTGACTCAGACAGGACAGGGATCCTGGTTACCTCTCTCTCTCTCTGGTCTCTCTCTCTGCTCTCTCTCTCTCTGGTCTCTATCTCTCTGCTCTCTCTCTCTACTGGTCTCTCTCTACTGCTCTCTCTCTCTCTGGCTCCTCTCTCTCTCTACTCTTGGTCTCTCTTTAATCTTTAATCTTTCTCTGTCTCGCTGTCTACGCTATCTCTGGTATCTCTCTTTCTCTGCTTCTCTCTCTCTCTCTCTCTCTGCTCTGTGGTCTCTCTCTGCTCTCTCTCTCTGGTCTCGATCTCTCTCTCTGGTCTCTCACTCTCTCTCTGGTCTCTCTTTACTCTCTCTATCTTTCTCTGTCCTCGCTTGTCTAAAGCTATCTCTGGTATCTCTCTTTCCCTCGGCTCTCTCACTTGCTGGTCTCTTCTCTCTCTCTCTGCTCTGTGGTCTCTCTCTGGTCTCTCTCTCAGGTTCTCTCTCTCTCTGGTCTCTCTCTCTGATCTCTCTCTCTGGTCTCTCTCTCTCGGGTCTCTCTCTCTGATCTCTCTCTCTGGACTCTCTCCTTTTTCTGTGGTCCCTCTTCTCTCTCTGGTCTCTCTCTATCCTTTCTGTCCTCTCTCTGGTCTCTCTCTGGATGTCTGGTCTCTCTCTGGTCTCTCTCTCTGGTCTCTCTCTGGTCTCTCTCTCTGGTCTCTCTCTGGTCTCTCACTCTCTCTCCGCTCTCTGGTCTCTCTGGAGAGACCAGAGAGCGGCAAGAGGGACCACAGAACAAGGAGAGCTGGTCTCTCTCTGAGAGGAGAGACCAGAGAGAGACCACAGAGCCAGAGAGAGAAGAGAGAAGCACGTGAGAGAGCCGAGAAGAAAGAGAACGAGCGATACCAGCAGATAGCTTTCTGGACAGCGAGACGAGACAGATAGAGGAGAGTAAAGAGAGGACCAGGGAGAGAGAGAGACCCAGAGATGCGAGAGAGACAGAGAGATGAGAGGCAGAGAGAGACCACAGAGCAGAGAGAGAGAGAGAGACGAGAGCAGTAGAAAGGGAGATAACAGAGATTAGCGTAGACCAGCGAGACAGAGGAAAGATTAAAGATTAAAGAGAGCCCAGAGAGTAAGCGGAGTTTGAGAGAAGAGCGAGAGAAGAAGCAGCAGCAGAGAGAGAGACCCACGAGAGAGAGAGACGCAGAGCGAGAGCCCAGAGGAGAGCAGAGAGCAAGCGAGAGACCAGAGAGAGCGAGTCGTGTAAACTCAGGGAATCCCTGTCCTGGGCTGAGTCCCCTGGTAGAATCTGAGCTACAATGCTGAGTCATGATGGACATTTGGGGAGCAGTGGGCGGACCATCATCCGGAGCAGACCTTTGACACTCCAGAGAGAACAACGAGGAGCAGAGGAGAAGGTCTGTTGGAGGTCTGGGTCCCAGGTCGGGTCTGGGTCTTGGTCCCGGTTGGGTTTAGTTGTACGTCTGATTTTAGACCCATGTTTTGGTCCTTGCTTTGGTCTTAGTCATTGCCACAGTCCTTCTCAAATAAAACGTCCAGGTCTGGGCTGGGTCTGGTCTTGGGGCTTGGGACTGGGTCTGGGTCTGGTCTATGGTTGGTCTTTTGTTTTGGGTCGGTCTTGGTGCTGGGTCTTGGTCTTGGGTGTGTGTCCCCCCCCCCCCGGGTCCCTGGTCTGGGGTTGGTCTTTGGTCTTGGGTCCGGTCTTGTTCAGGTGTCTATCTTGGGTGTGTCTCTAGTCTTGGTCTGGTCTTGGGTGGTGTCTGATCCTTGGTCTGGTTCTGGTCTTCGGTCTTCGGTCTGGGTCTTGTCTTTGGTTGGGTCTGGTCTTGGTTTGGTCTGTTCTTGGGATGTGGGTCTGGTCTTGGGTCTGGTCTTGAGTTGTTGTGTATCGCTACAATCCCGCAGCAGTCTAAAGTCTATTAAGGACTTTACAGCGTTGAGATTCACCGACGAACACATCAGAAATCAAACTGTTCAACACATGACGGCCCAGAGGAGGAGGACAGAGAGAGACCAGAGAGGAGACCCCGAGAGAGCCCAGAGAGAGGACAGACAAAAAAGACAGCCCAGAGAGCGAGCGAGCGAGAAAAGACCAGCGAGCGACCCGCGGAGGGGAGACCAGAGAGAGACCCGCGAGAGACCAGAGGAGAGACCACGAGCGAGACCCAGAGCGCGACCAGAGAGAGCCCGAGAGAGACAGAGAGAGACCAGAGAGAGACCAGAGAGAGACCAGAGAGGAGACCAGAAGAGAGACCAGAGAGAGACCAGAGAGAGACCTTGCGAGTGGAAGAGATGAGACATTTGAGACAGCTTCACGTGGGCTAACAGAAATATTCCCCATCGAACTCAACTGCATATTAAAACGCTCGACTCAGCTGCCAGAGAACCTGACAGAGAACCTCAGCTTTAATAAACGATAGTCTTTTGTGGGGATTTTAGTGTCCCTTGTCATCCTGAACTTTTTTGCTTCATAAAATCCTTGGTTTTGTTTAAATCACACTTTAGTGCCACAATCTGCTCCTCTGGCTCTCGACCTTAACTTCCACGCTCGATGAACTGCTAGATGGTAGAGCCGCGGCCGAGCCCCTCTGTGCACGTGCGTCGAGACCCTCGGTGCCCGTGCGTGAGACCCTCTGTGCACGTGCGTGAGACGGTGTGAGACCACCCCGCGTGTTTGGCGCCAATGCCTTATGAGGAGATCATCCACTGCACCGAACCGGAGGACCTAGACCGATGCCCAATACAGGAGAGTTTTCCCAAAGTTCTTTGAGAGTTTCCCTCAGCATCTTGAGAGTTTCCCATAGATCCTTTGAGAGTTTCCCATAGTTCTTTGAGAGTTTCAGAGATCTTTGAGCGTTTCCCATAGATTCTTTGAGGATTTCCAAAGATCTTTGCGAGTTTCCAAGATCTTTGAGAGTTTCCCATAGCATCTTTGAGGTTTCCCCATAGATCTTTGCGAGTTTCCATTAGATCTTGAGAGGTTTTTTCCATAGATCTTTGAGAGTTTTTCATGGCGATCTTCCGCTACTCTTTCAGCCCCCCAAGGCCCCGTTCACCACAGCGCCACTGCGCACAACCATTCATTGAATAGGGCGCCATCTTGGATCGACGGGGCTTGCACAACAACCAGACTGTATCCTGATGCTAATGCTAACACGCTAGCTCAATAACGCCAATACAGGAGGCTCTTGCTTATTGGCTGGGAGACTTTCATCAGATTTTACTTTTGTAACGTGACGTGACGTGACTTCCTGTATCCGGTGAGAGTGTTTTCCTTTGCTGCCCCTATCACTTGTCTCTGTTTGCTTAACAAACCACATTACAAACACGTCATTTGTACACCCAAGCTACTGTGATGTAAGCATCCGAGTCAGCTGTATACCCTGCAGCTGAGGTTTAGGTATCGGTTGTTGTTCTGGTCTCGGAGTCTGTTGTGCGGCCGGATCCGTACTCGCTTAGCCTAGCCTTAGCTTCGCTCGCCGCTAACCTCGCTACTATGGCGGCTGCCGGTCTCTCCTTCCACATCTGTACTGCTCGCGTTGCCCATTGGCGAGTCTAACCCCCTGGGATCCTTCTCTGGGGAAGTGATAGATGTGTGAAGTGTAGGTGTCGTCGTAGCTCTGGATTCCAGTGTCAGTGAGTTTGAGCTGCGGTCTCGAGCCTGGGTCTCGAGCTAGCGCTAGCCTTAGACTATTAGCCTGGCGTATCCTCAGGGACAGCGGAGCGCTGCTTTAGGGAAAGGCAGAGGAGAACTAGTGTGAGCCTAGCCTCCCGCCGTCCTCCGCAGCTGGACAAGACCAGGATAGTGATGGCTTGTGACTGTTCGGAGAGGGCGACGTGTTGTTGGTAGTTTCCCCATTGGGCCTCTCTGTTTGCATGTACAATCGCTGGTCGCTCTGTCCGTCTGCGCCCCGCGCGCGGCCGGGCGGGAAGCAGGGCCCACTGGAGAGCTGCTGCGAGAGCTGCTGCGGACGCGATGGCGTCCGCTGATGTGTGGTAATTGGCTCCTCTATTGTTAGAGGTGTTAAGATCCCAGGAGCACTGAACCGGTGCTTCCTGGGGCCCAGCTTGGTGATATTGAAGGGAATCTGAGGCTCATGATGACCCACAAGCCAGGTTTCCGTCGAATTGTTCTTCACGCGGGTGGTAATGACGTTCGGCGGAAAAACAGTCTCGAGGTGTTGAAGCTGCAAGTCGCCGCCCGTGTGCAAGCTGGCTAGCAAATGGCCGACACTGTCATCTTCTCTGGGCCTTATCCTAGCACTAGCAGTGCAGAAGCATTCAGCAGACATCGGCTTTTCTAACAGCTGGCTGTCTGCTGGGGCCCTCGAAGTGGTGTTGTTTCTGTTGACAATTGGAGTTGCCTTTTGGGGAAAGCCGGTCTCATCGCCTCGGCATTGATATCCACCCAACGATGGCGGGTACATCCCTTTTGGCTAAGAATTTGGGCCCCTGGCTCTCTAACCTGTCTGCCACGGTCAAATGAGATGCACGAACTGAGGCCCGGGTGCAGTGCTGCTCTGCCACAACCTCTGAGCCCCCATCAGTTCGTTACGAGCCTCAGAATCGCTAGTCAATTTGAAATATGTGTGGCCTGTGTGTGTGTGCTGTGTGTGCTCAGTTACTAGCTTCAGAACCTATTCAAGATTGAAACT